GCAGCTGGCTCATCCCACCCCCTCACCTCGCAGGAATCCGTGCCTCCGCCCCTCAGGCCAGCACACAGCATGTTCCCGTTGACGTGCCCGGGGAAGTCGGCCGCGCACTGCTCATCCGAGATGGTGTGGACCGTGCTGCAGTAGAGGATGACGGAGACGTTTTCTGAGAGAGACGGAGAGCCCCTGCTTAGCGGCACCGAGGGGGCTGCTGGATCTGCCCTGGCCCCATCTCGCCGGGTGTCCCGTGGCCGAGATGGACGGTGCGAGAACCAGGCCACAAGGCCAGGGAAATGATCTGCCCCCAACTACGGCTGCCCCTGGAATGCAGCCCCCCGGCGTCTGGGGGGGCCTGGGGCTAGAGAGAGCGAGCCTGGGTGCGGGGACAGACAGACAGACAGACAGACAGATAGAGGGGGTGTATGGGGATAGATAGATAGATAGATAGATAGATAGATAGATAGATAGATAGATAGATAGATAGAGGGGGTGTATGAGGATAGATAGATAGATAGATAGATAGATAGATAGATAGATAGATAGATAGATAGATAGATAGATAGATAGATAGATAGATACTATTTGTCTGTCTGTCTTCCCTGCAGAGAAGCCAACAACTTCACTAGGCCCCTCGGCAAGTGGGGGGCATCTCCACACCCCAGAAGGGGCAGTCAGCCCTCAGCACCGCCCAGACTGTGGTGCCCCACCCCTCCCCTCAGCACCTCCCGGAGCGGACCGTGTGGGGCTCCAGCAGTAACTTACAGCACCTGGGGCTCCTGCCTTTTGCTCCGTTCCCTCCCCACCGTCGCAGGCCTCACCGGTCACTAGCAATGGCCTCTCCCTGTCTCCTGCACTAGCCCAGGCTCCCGGGAGAGGCTGGTTCGGGCTGGGGGGCCGGGAACCTCACTCGAATGTCTCCAGTCCCCGACGCCCCCTGGCCCCCAGCAGCACCCCAGGCCCACGGCTCCCCCTTTCCCCCCACCTTGGGCGTTGATGGCGTTGCTCCAGCCCGAGATGGAGCACTGCTTTCCTGGCTCCGCGCACCGGGAGGCCAGGCCCAGCGGTTGGACATAGCGGTTGAGCGCGGCCGGCGTGTGCAGCTTGAGCAGCATGATGTCGTTGTTGTGGTCTGTGCAGTTGTAGCCGGGGTGGATGAGGGCCTTGGCCACGGCTCGGTGCTGCTCGCTCCCCTCCCGCGTGTACAGGTTGTACTTCCCCAGCCGCACGTGGATGGGGCTGCGGGGAGGCAAAGGGCTGAATTGTCCGCACTGATTCTGGCAGGGCCTCTGCTCCCAGTAGGAACAGAATCCGCCTCCCTCGCCCACGCCACTGGGGGACAAGGTGGGGAGAGGACTGAGATGGCACACGGCCTGGCTCTGCCCATGCCTGGGATGGGGGAGCTGCCCTGATGTGAATCTGTAACACACCAGGTGAAAAACAAGCCAATGGCAGAATTGCCAGTTAACCTGTGGAACTCCTTGCCAGAGGATGTTGGGAAGGCCAGGACTTTAACAGGGTTCAAAAAAGAGCTAGATACATTCATGGAGGATCAGTCCATCAATGGCCATTAGCCAGGATGGACAGGAATGGTGTCCCCAGCCTCTGTTTGTCGGACACTGGGAATGAGCGACAGGGGAGGGGTCCCTAGATCCCTCTGGGGCACCTGGCACTGGCCACAGTCAGCAGATAGGACACAGGGCTGGATGGACCCTTGTGCTGTAACCCAACCCCCGCCCCCACTCCCAGGCCACCTACCCGGTGTGGCAATGGGCTGCAGTCAGGACCCATCTCTGGCTGATGAGGGTGGCGCCACAGTTGTACCTGGAGCGGTCGAATATGCACGGCTGGCCACGCAGCTTGAAGCTGCCACCGGGCACAGCTGGGATGTGAAACACAGACACCCTGGCAGCTCCCGCTAGCCCCGGGGACCCGTCGTGGGGCGCAGAAGAGCAGGGCTGAGCTGGGTGAGCTAGGCACGGGGGCAACAGCTGGGTACAGGCCCCAGCTGAGATCAGGGAGGCCAATGGGGGGCAAAGAGGGCAGCTGCCCCGGGACCTGAGGCTTTAAAAGGCAGCCAGAGCACGAGTCCATTAAATCACCGCCGGAGTCCCTCACGGTGAGATCTGTGCTGTGCTGAGGGTGGGGTGCTCCTAGCCCCGCCCCTTCTGAACAAAGCCCTGCCCCTTTGGGGTGGTCCACAGCCGATCCCCCTGCCAGTGGCCATGCCGTGGCACAGACACACAGGGAGAGACCATCCCTCCGTCACCTCAGATCAGCACAGGTCAGGGTCACTGCCAGGAGCCAGGCACCTGAGTCTCCAGCCAGCCTCAAGCCCCGACCCTCAGTCTCCCCTGCAGCACAGCCAGCGGGGTGCTTCCAGAGGGTCCTGTATTCAGTCCACCTCTTGGGGTGGAGCTGCACCCCCCTTAACTCTGCCCTCTTGAATATGTGCCCTTAACTCTGCCCCTTGTAGATTTCAAGCCATGTTGCAGTGCTGAGTTAAGGAGGAGCTGTTAGATGGAGATGCCATGGGCTGTGTGTGTAGTACTGGGCAGGGCCATGTATGCCATGGGCTGTGTGTGTAGTGATAGCCTGTGTACATACTGGTAGTGGATGTGGGTAGACGTACATACTAAGACATGCACAAGGACTCACATACTTCATACACAAACACACATACAAGGGCACACATACCCCCGTCCAGACTAACACACGGATGCCGTCACTCACACATTAACATACACACTAAAATAACTGCACACAGAAGCATATCCATATCTATGTTCAAAAACTGACACACAGGCACAGATGCACCACTAATTTACTTGTGTAGGCATACACAAACGCATCGTTGTGCGCACGCACACACACGCACACACTAATGCAAGGGTTTGGGTACACACACACACAACATAATGCATGGGTGGAGGCACACATCAACACACAGTTGCAGGCACTCACAAACACAAAGCTGAACACGCACACAAACACATGGGGAAAGGCACACAAAACACAACTGTGCGCACGCACACACAGATTAGTGCACGGGTGAAGGCTCATATACAAACACAGATATGCTCACACACAGACACATGGGTACGCACGCGCACACAGACCAACACATCAGTGAAGGTTCATACACAAACCACAGCTGTGCACACACACACACACACACACACACACACACACACTGGTGCAAGCACTCTCTCACCTGCAGCGCCCAGGAGCAGAGCGATGCCCAGCAGACGCATGGGCCAAGCAGCAGTGGGCTCTATGGGCACATGGAAAAGGGGGTCAGGCCGCAGGAACAAGGCAGGGACACACGATTCCTCACCCCATCCTATAAACATCCCTCCCCCTCATCCCTCCCCCCCGCACACCCCTCCTCCCATCCCTCCCCCTCATCCCTCCACCCCACACACCCCTCCATCCATCCTCCCCCTCTTCCCATTAAGAAGACATAGACGCAGTTTTCTTTGTAAACAGAATTTATTTTATTAGAAACACTAGGGCTGCGTCTACACTGGCAAGATTTTGCGCTAATACTTTTAACGTAAGAGTTTTTGCGTTAGAGTATTTGCGCAAGATAGCGTCTATATTGGTCTGGGACTCATTGTAAGAACGATGCGCTTTTGCGCAAAAGTGCGTCTACATTGGCGGGACACTTCTGTGCAAAAGCAGAAGCCAGGAACCATTTTGAAGAGGGCAAAAGGGCGGCAGCCCTTTCTGGGGGTGGGGGGTGGAGCTCCTTTGAGAAACGTGCTTAAAGGGATCTCCCCGGACAGCCGTTTCTCTCCTGCTGCGAGCTATAGGACCTCTTGCAGGGACTGACAGCCATAGTAGTTCTATTTGTGGTTGCCCTCTGCCTTATTGGACACCACTGCCTTGTGCCTTTAGTGCCTTTGGCAGATTTTTGTAGCTCAGCTTCTTTCTTGTACCATGGAGCCAGGGGTGGCCATGTACCTGCTCTGGCCCCTTCCGACCATTTTGGAGTGCCATGCTGCTGCTCCAGGCTGCTGCACTCCTTCACCAGGACCTCGAGGTGCAGGTTGCTCTGGACTCCTTCATCAGGCAGGCCATGGTGTCCCTGTGCCATCCCCACCCCACCATGCGGAGGTCATTGTGGAGACTGGACACCAGCACCGACTGGTGGGACCGCCTGGTCCTGGGGAAATGGGACAACCAGCAATGACTCCGGAACTATTGCATGCGAAAGTGAACATTCCTGGAGCTGCGCGCCTGGCTCGCCCCTGCGCTCCAGAGAACCACCACCCGGCTGCGGGCAACCATCCCGGTGGACAAGAGGGTCGCCATCGCACTATGGAAGCTGGCCACCTCAGACAGCTATCGATCGATGGCACACCAGTTTGGGGTGGGCAGATCCACCATCGGTGCCATCGTCATGCAGGTAAGTCCCAGGCGGAGTGGGGGGGGGGGAGGGAAGAGTGCAGCACTACCAACACATCAGTGAAGGTTCATACACAAACCACAGCTGTGCACACACACACACACACACACACACACACACACACTGGTGCAAGCACTCTCTCACCTGCAGCGCCCAGGAGCAGAGCGATGCCCAGCAGACGCATGGGCCAAGCAGCAGTGGGCTCTATGGGCACATGGAAAAGGGGGTCAGGCCGCAGGAACAAGGCAGGGACACACGATTCCTCACCCCATCCTATAAACATCCCTCCCCCTCATCCCTCCCCCCCGCACACCCCTCCTCCCATCCCTCCCCCTCATCCCTCCCCCCCGCACACCCCTCCTCCCATCCCTCCCCCTCATCCCTCCCCCCCGCACACCCCTCCTCCCATCCCTCCCCCTCATCCCTCCCCCCCGCACACCCCTCCTCCCATCCCTCCCCCTCATCCCTCCCCCCCGCACACCCCTCCTCCCATCCCTCCCCCTCATCCCTCCCCCCCGCACACCCCTCCTCCCATCCCTCCCCCTCATCCCTCCCCCCCGCACACCCCTCCTCCCATCCCTCCCCCTCATCCCTCCCCCCCGCACACCCCTCCTCCCATCCCTCCCCCTCATCCCTCCCCCCCGCACACCCCTCCTCCCATCCCTCCCCCTCATCCCTCCCCCCCGCACACCCCTCCTCCCATCCCTCCCCCTCATCCCTCCCCCCCGCACACCCCTCCTCCCATCCCTCCCCCTCATCCCTCCCCCCCGCACACCCCTCCTCCCATCCCTCCCCCTCATCCCTCCCCCCCGCACACCCCTCCTCCCATCCCTCCCCCTCATCCCTCCCCCCCGCACACCCCTCCTCCCATCCCTCCCCCTCATCCCTCCCCCCCGCACACCCCTCCTCCCATCCCTCCCCCTCATCCCTCCCCCCCGCACACCCCTCCTCCCATCCCTCCCCCTCATCCCTCCCCCCCGCACACCCCTCCTCCCATCCCTCCCCCTCATCCCTCCCCCCCGCACACCCCTCCTCCCATCCCTCCCCCTCATCCCTCCCCCCCGCACACCCCTCCTCCCATCCCTCCCCCTCATCCCTCCCCCCCGCACACCCCTCCTCCCATCCCTCCCCCTCATCCCTCCCCCCCGCACACCCCTCCTCCCATCCCTCCCCCTCATCCCTCCCCCCCGCACACCCCTCCTCCCATCCCTCCCCCTCATCCCTCCCCCCCGCACACCCCTCCTCCCATCCCTCCCCCTCATCCCTCCCCCCCGCACACCCCTCCTCCCATCCCTCCCCCTCATCCCTCCCCCCCGCACACCCCTCCTCCCATCCCTCCCCCTCATCCCTCCCCCCCGCACACCCCTCCTCCCATCCCTCCCCCTCATCCCTCCCCCCCGCACACCCCTCCTCCCATCCCTCCCCCTCATCCCTCCCCCCCGCACACCCCTCCTCCCATCCCTCCCCCTCATCCCTCCCCCCCGCACACCCCTCCTCCCATCCCTCCCCCTCATCCCTCCCCCCCGCACACCCCTCCTCCCATCCCTCCCCCTCATCCCTCCCCCCCGCACACCCCTCCTCCCATCCCTCCCCCTCATCCCTCCCCCCCGCACACCCCTCCTCCCATCCCTCCCCCTCATCCCTCCCCCCCGCACACCCCTCCTCCCATCCCTCCCCCTCATCCCTCCCCCCCGCACACCCCTCCTCCCATCCCTCCCCCTCATCCCTCCCCCCCGCACACCCCTCCTCCCATCCCTCCCCCTCATCCCTCCCCCCCGCACACCCCTCCTCCCATCCCTCCCCCTCATCCCTCCCCCCCGCACACCCCTCCTCCCATCCCTCCCCCTCATCCCTCCCCCCCGCACACCCCTCCTCCCATCCCTCCCCCTCATCCCTCCCCCCCGCACACCCCTCCTCCCATCCCTCCCCCTCATCCCTCCCCCCCGCACACCCCTCCTCCCATCCCTCCCCCTCATCCCTCCCCCCCGCACACCCCTCCTCCCATCCCTCCCCCTCATCCCTCCCCCCCGCACACCCCTCCTCCCATCCCTCCCCCTCATCCCTCCCCCCCGCACACCCCTCCTCCCATCCCTCCCCCTCATCCCTCCCCCCCGCACACCCCTCCTCCCATCCCTCCCCCTCATCCCTCCCCCCCGCACACCCCTCCTCCCATCCCTCCCCCTCATCCCTCCCCCCCGCACACCCCTCCTCCCATCCCTCCCCCTCATCCCTCCCCCCCGCACACCCCTCCTCCCATCCCTCCCCCTCATCCCTCCCCCCCGCACACCCCTCCTCCCATCCCTCCCCCTCATCCCTCCCCCCCGCACACCCCTCCTCCCATCCCTCCCCCTCATCCCTCCCCCCCGCACACCCCTCCTCCCATCCCTCCCCCTCATCCCTCCCCCCCGCACACCCCTCCTCCCATCCCTCCCCCTCATCCCTCCCCCCCGCACACCCCTCCTCCCATCCCTCCCCCTCATCCCTCCCCCCCGCACACCCCTCCTCCCATCCCTCCCCCTCATCCCTCCCCCCCGCACACCCCTCCTCCCATCCCTCCCCCTCATCCCTCCCCCCCGCACACCCCTCCTCCCATCCCTCCCCCTCATCCCTCCCCCCCGCACACCCCTCCTCCCATCCCTCCCCCTCATCCCTCCCCCCCGCACACCCCTCCTCCCATCCCTCCCCCTCATCCCTCCCCCCCGCACACCCCTCCTCCCATCCCTCCCCCTCATCCCTCCCCCCCGCACACCCCTCCTCCCATCCCTCCCCCTCATCCCTCCCCCCCGCACACCCCTCCTCCCATCCCTCCCCCTCATCCCTCCCCCCCGCACACCCCTCCTCCCATCCCTCCCCCTCATCCCTCCCCCCCGCACACCCCTCCTCCCATCCCTCCCCCTCATCCCTCCCCCCCGCACACCCCTCCTCCCATCCCTCCCCCTCATCCCTCCCCCCCGCACACCCCTCCTCCCATCCCTCCCCCTCATCCCTCCCCCCCGCACACCCCTCCTCCCATCCCTCCCCCTCATCCCTCCCCCCCACACACCCCTCCATCCATCCCTCCCCCTCCCTCCCACACGCTCTGTAATAGTTCAGCGCAGTGATACAGTAAATTCCGGGTTCACTGGCATGACATCCGGACAGATCTGCTCCGCCGGTGATGATCAGCGTCCGGCTGCGTTTGTTTCGTATGTCCCTCAATATCCACGGCCAGCCCTGCTCATGGTTGACTTTACAAGAGCCCCCACAGACCACACACTCCGATAAGACAGTGGTGCTCGACCTTTTTTAATTCGCAACCCCCAGGGCCGGGAACATTTTTGTTAAGCAAAAAAAACCGCTGGGAAAATTTTGGTTGAGCCAAAAAAAAAAGCGCGCCAGGAACATTTCATTTAAAGTGCCGGTCGGCTCCCCTGCCACTCCCCCACCCCCGCTGTGTGCATGTCAGGCACCGAGCTGGGAAAAGAAAACGGCGGGCGGCACGGGGCGGGCAGGTTTATTGTCCAACAAAGGACAGTGAGAGGACTCAGTAGCCAGATGGCCCGCGAGCCCCTTTGTATTTGTACCCGGGACAGGCCCCGTCTGTCGTATGGATTCCTCTGTTGCCCCCTAAGCCTGCCAAAGAGTCAGTTGGAGACACCCCAAGACACAGACAGTAACGAGCAGCCTCCTATACACCCCGCACGTATCCTCTTGCGCATTCATGACACGGTTGGTGCCGCCCTTTGGCCTTTCCTCCAGAGCAGTCACAGCCCTTGTTGTTCTTACTCGCTTGTTTGATCTTGTACTCAGCTGGGTGTCCCTGGACTGTCCTGGTGCAATGTCTTTGGTACTTCGTGTGCTTCTATCCATGCCAGCCGCTCCAGTGCCCAGAAACACCCACTGGCAGGCGAACATCTGCTTGTGACACGGCCTGTCTCTGACTCAGTCTAACGCTTGCTCACTTTGGTTCAAGCACCGGGCCCATTCTTCAGCCTATCTCTTTCTGCTACACGCTCCATTCCCACCCCCCCATCCCTCCATCTGATACACTGCCCACTGCTCCTGACCATCCCAGCCACCAAACCTCCCCAGACACCATTCCACCCCAACACACAAAAAGGGGAGGCATGGGAGGGTGGACAGATGTTCTTATCTCGATAGACAGACAGATAGAGGGGGTGGATGGGGATAGAAAGATAGAGGGGGTGGATGGGGATCAATAGATAGATAGAGGGGGTGGATGGGGATCAATAGATAGATAGAGGGGGTGGATGGGGATCAATAGATAGATAGAGGGGGTGGATGGGGATCAATAGATAGATAGAGGGGGTGGATGGGGATCAATAGATAGATAGAGGGGGTGGATGGGGATCAATAGATAGATAGAGGGGGTGGATGGGGATCAATAGATAGATAGAGGGGGTGGATGGGGATCAATAGATAGATAGAGGGGGTGGATGGGGATCAATAGATAGATAGAGGGGGTGGATGGGGATCAATAGATAGATAGAGGGGGTGGATGGGGATCAATAGATAGATAGAGGGGGTGGATGGGGATCAATAGATAGATAGAGGGGGTGGATGGGGATCAATAGATAGATAGAGGGGGTGGATGGGGATCAATAGATAGATAGAGGGGGTGGATGGGGATCAATAGATAGATAGAGGGGGTGGATGGGGATCAATAGATAGATAGAGGGGGTGGATGG